TTTGGTCAAGGCCAAGAACCTCACGCGCCCACGATGAATGGGGGGGGCTTTGGCCGAAGAACCTCCGATGCCAAAGTTAGAATTTAGAGAGAAAAAGTGTTTAGAGGATTTTTGGGAGTTTTGCAAGAGTATTAACTTCGCTTTTTAGAAGAAATAGGGTCATATATATAGGGAATAGGGTGTGGCCGGCCTTTAAGTGTGTTTTGGGATGTTATTTGGTGATTCAATTAGCAATTAATATATTAAGTAGGCATAAATATATTAATTGGCTAATTATCATAATAAAAGAAATGTTTTGGGAGGTTTTTGGAGATTATGGAATGAGGATAGATGAGACAAATTTGAATTTGTTACCTATTTTGGGTACTCTTGATTTAGTTGATGGATGATTCTCCATTGCTCGCGTGTAGGAGACTCGGTATGCCTCGAGGGTAAATTTGTCATCTTCACCCAAAAATTCACGTGTCGCTTTGTGATTATTTTTGGCTCCACAAATGCCCTCACACCTGCTGGGCTGCTCGTAGGAAAGTGCAGCAGGTGTAGAGATCTTCTTAGGAAACTTAGGACTGCTTCTTGTTTTGATGTAGATTCCCTTTTTAATATGAAATTAGATCCTTATAGGAAAAGGAAATAAATTTCTCTCAAAGCCTATTTAAGTCCACCTTAAGTGGGTTATTAAATCAACTTTGGAGAGTGATTTATTCTACTCTGCAAGAGAGAGAGCTTAGAGGATATTTGTTCACCCTCATCTAGCAATCTTTTACATCTTGCTCGTGCAAAGGACCATTTTTCGTAGCTTTCTTCGTCTTCTTCGTGCCGCACCAATGTAATAAAAACTTAATTTCTTCTTGTCTTCTTCTTAGGCGGTGCTTCCACGGGGTAGTTGTCGGGATGGTGCGGCACGTCGGCTGGCAGGGGCCAGGAGTCGGCTTGGCATGGGCCAAGTAGGTGATGTGGCAGGGGCCATTGCTTGAGCAACTCGGCTTGATTGTAGCCAAGGATTGGTTCGGCATAGGGCGAGGAAGTGGCGTGGGATAGACAATTGTTTGGGCTGCCACATCTGGGCTGCTTGTAGAAAATGAGGAAACTGCTTGAGTTTGATTTTTCAACATTTGTTGCTTAGTTGATCTTCAAGCATTCGATCTTTTAAACTATGTGGGCTTCTTGCATTAGAGAGCTTACCCAAATGGGTGTTAAGGATTTAGTTTAACCTCTCGCACTGGAAAGCAATTAGTTTATCCACTCACATTGGAGAGCAATTAGTTTATCCTCTCGCACTGGAGAGCAAGCCCATATGAGTGTCAGGGAATTGTTTTACCCTCTTGCACTGGAGAGCAATTAGTTTATCCTCTCGCATTGGAGAGCAATTAGTTTATCTTTTCGCACTGGAGAGCAAACCCATATGGGTGTTGGGGAATTGGTTTACCCTATCGCACTAGAGAGCAATTAGTTTATCCTCTTGCACTAAAGAGCAAACCCATATGAGTGTTGGGGAATTGGTTTACCCTCTTCCACTGGAGAGCAAACCCATATGGGTATCGGGGAATTGGTTTACCCTCTCGCACTAGAGAGCAATTAGTTTATCCTCTTGCACTGGAGAGCAGACCCTTTTTGGGTGTCGGGGAATTAGTTTACCCTTTCGTGTTGGAGATCAATTAGTTTATCATCTCGTACTGGAGAGTAGACCCTTTTGAGGCTTAGTTGGCGCGAGAAATTGGTCAATCGCTTGGTCAGGAGCCTTTTTTCTTCTTCCTGAATTTTCCTTTGTTAGGGTGGCAGAGCTCTCGACTGCCCCCGATCGTGATGTGTTGGTCTAAGCTGTTCTTCCATATATTCGGCTCGTCTATGCCAGGCCGCGGTGGGTGTGGTATGTTCCTAGCAAGCGAGCGGTTAACTCACAGGCTGCTGGTTGAACTTGAACTGGATTGAGTGACTGCTTCTTTCCGTCTACTGTGCTGGAAAGGTTCTTCATCTGCCCTTGTCCTACTTTGGGACACCTCATTTGGGGCACGTTGCATCTTAGTGCGTTGCAAGAGCTGGTTCACCAAGGGCGTTTGCTGTGCTAGGGCGCTTGTCAACTCTATGACTTGTCGAGACAAGTGTTCTTCACCATTTGGATTGGAAGAGCTTGGAAGGAATGTGCCTCCTTAAGTAGTGGAAAAGTGGTAGACTCCGGGCGCGAGATTTGAGTTGGGAAATGTCAAATCCACCGAGAAATATGGTGAGAATGCCCCCGGTTCGATTGTAAGCTCAAAAATTTGAAACCGAGATGGTTGAACTAATCTTGGACCGATTTGGGCTACGAGAGTGGGCTGCTCGTCGGGAGAAGGCTAGGCCACGGGAATGGGCTGCTCGTCGGAGCAGGCTAGGCCACGAGAGTAGGCTGCTCGGTGGGAGCAAGCTGGGCCATGTGAGTGAGCTGCTAGTCGGGAGCAGGCTGCTCGGCGTGTAATGCTCGCGAATGCGAGGCTTGAGCTTGGGTTGGCAACGTATATGGCTCGCGTTGGGCATGGAGTGACATGGCTTGGGCCGTGGTGATAGAGTCATGGACCTCGCCGTGGGTGATTGCCATGGTGGCCACTGCGGTGGTTGCCATGGTTGAGCCTTGTAGTGGCGGTGCCACTCTGAAGATCACATTTAGTCTTGTGTATTGCCACGGTCCCATTTCTTGAATATTGGAATTTTCACTTGTGGAATTTTCTAAATTTCTAGCCATTGTATTTCTCTTTCACGTTTTATCAAAGAATCTTTGCAAATAAATTTTTTTAATAATAAGAACGTACGAAAAATACAAATGGACTAGTAAATAGAGAAAATAGAGAAAAAACCTTTTTGTGCGAGAGTCTTCTACGAGTGTGAATCTCAACTCTCAATGAAAGCACCAATTTGTGGATGCAAATTTTCGCCTTCTTCTTCTTTGACAAAATTGCACCTACAAAACAATCAACACATTTGGTCAAGGCCAATAACCTCACGTGCCCACGATGAATGGGGGGGCTTTGGCCGAAGAACCTCCGATGCCAAAGTTAGAATTTAGAGAGAAAAAGTGTTTAGAGGATTTTTGGGAGTTTTGCAAGAGTATCAACTTCGCTTTTTAGAAGAAATAGGGTCATATATATAGGGAATGGGGTGTGGCCGGCCTTTAAGTGTGTTTTGGGATGTTATTTGGTGATTCAATTAGCAAAAAAATATATTAATTAGGTATAAATATATTAATTGGCTAATTATCATAATAAAAGAAATGTTTTGAGAGGTTTTTGGAGGTTATGGAATGAGGATAGATGAGACAAATTTGAACTTGTTACCTATTTTGGGTACTCCTGATTTGGTTGATGGATGATTCTTCATTACTCGCGTGTAGGAGACTCGGTATGCTTTGAGGGTAAATTTGTTATCTTCACTCAAAAATTCACGTGTCGTTTTATGATTATTTTTTGCTCCACAAAATGTAGTAATTGTTACGTCGATGTTTGATATCCAAAAATTAAGGAATAAATTTACTTACATGTTGTATATTTGATCTGATAGTTCCATAAAAAAAAAATTTATTGCTTAATTAGAGGAATGATTCTTTCATTGGTTGTCAATGTAAACCCCTGTACAAGTTTCTTTTCAATATTTTACATCATCGTCTTTATTTAGACATTATTTTACATTATCATATTTCTTTAATAGTACTAGGAGCCTATAGATGTTTTTATTTTCCCTTCCATTTTGTCATCTAATACATCTAGCACCAATGACTCAACGAGCCAAAGATTTTGAACGATCTCAAACCTTCTAACTACGCTTAACAATTTTTTACATGATTTGTTAACCAGATACAGAATGATACGAAATAATAGATGTCAAGTCAACTCGTTAACAAATTAGGTCGTTATCAAATCATTCGTTAATTTTTTTTACCAAACTAAATTATTATTAGATCATCTATTAAAACTCTAATAAGATATAGGTCATCTAAACCAACTGTCTAGCGGCAAGAGCAGGAGTGGGGAAATCAAAAGCTTTTTTGGGATTCAAGCGGTTAACCAGAGAAATAATGTCAGTGAAAACCCAAATCCCGAGTACACAAAGTCAAAGTAATGGACTAAACATGGTTAAACTTAATTAATATTTACAGAAGGTCCACATGGTAATTGAAAATGAGTGGAAGTGGTCCCAGACACAAGAGATTTTTCGATGTGATCGGTAAACGAGATTTTATATTACGTGTCATTATACAAATAGTGAAATATGTGTGCTAAAAAATTTATAACTTAAAAATAAAATTTCACACAGCTCCTATTAAAACACATAATATATCACTTGTATTCCCGTCACAATTAACAATTTTCCCCAGACAGAATTTTGATGAAAGTTTGGTACATGGTGTGAAGAGATCTTAATTAACGAAGATATTGAACAACGTGACTGTTGATGATTAGCTTTAATTAATCATTTTTCTATTAAGCTAAATTGGCTTCAATTGGCCCTTTTAAAAACTGAGGCAGAGTGGTCAGAATCACAGACGTTGGATATTTAATGCTGAGGCCAAGTGGTGTGACAAGATGACACGAAATGTTGAGATTCAGTTCTGAGAATCTTACGGAAATGATTATTTCCGGATTTATTCATCAAATTCTTCTCGTCAATTAATTCGAGCTATTGAAATTTAATCTAACGGTTAAAATTATTATATAATTTTAAAGTTGATTCCTATTTTTAGCCGTTGGATCAAATTTCAAATATTCGGATTAATTGATGGAGAGTATTTGGTGGAAGGGATTCGGAGGGGATCTCTTTCTGAATCTTACATCACATGCACATGGGTAATGCTAAAGACACTAAATTTAAAAACTAAATTTACAAACTAAATGATGTGTCACCAATAAAAATAAACACGTTTATCAACATATAAGTAATAAATAAATCATCAACTTTCATATCTTTTAGTTTTTATACTTTTTTTAGTATTTGGCATTACTCCATGCACTATATATGTCCTTTTATATCAACATGGGGAGTAATCTAAAGCTCTAATCCATCAAACACGCTCCAAAGCTGGACTGTTGTTTTTGAACTTTGAACTCTCTATGTGAGAGAGAGAGAGAGAGAGAGATGGGAAGAAAACCATGCTCTGATAAAGAAGGGCTAAACAGGGGAGCATGGTTAGCTTGGGAAGATAAAATCCTTACCAACTACATTGAAACAAATGGAGAAGGAAAATGGCGAGACCTTCCTCGAAGAGCTGGTATGTGTGTGTATGCACTTTACATATTTAAATTTACAATATTTTTTTTTCAGATGCTGTATGCGTAGGATCCAAATTAGCATTAACTATGTTGCTGCAGGGTTAAACCGGTGTGGAAAGAGCTGCAGACTGCGATGGTTGAACTATCTGAGGCCTGACATTAAGAGAGGTAACATTTCCAGTGAAGAAGAAGAGCTCATCATTAGACTACATAAGCTTCTTGGAAACAGGTATGTATGTATGTATGTATGCATGCATGCAAGAATGAGTACAGCTCCGTTTTTATGTTGATTATTATTTTTTTCAATTCAATCTTGACCGTCAGTTCAAATTTTAACATCAACAACACACATCTGAATAATAATATTGATGCAAATATTTGTTTCTATTGAATAATAAATAGAATATTAGGTGATATTAGCTATTCCGAAGTAAGACGATTTAGACTTGAAGATGAAAGTTCTATACGCTCTGGGATCCCACCGGCCGTCCCCCATCTATATAAAAACAAAGCTCACAAGAATAAATAGTAAAGTCGTCCAATTATAGAGAATTATAGAGAAAATGGAAACGAAAAAAGGCCAGAACAAAAGAAACCAAAAGAAAGAAAAACATGTTACAATTCCTAAATTATAGAGAAAATGGAAGCCAGTATATCCATGCATACTCATTAAAGCACATATAGAAGCAAGATTAACTTTTGAATTTGTACTTGTTATGGTGATGTATGTATTTCATCAGGTGGTCATTGATCGCTGGAAGACTGCCGGGACGAACCGACAATGAGATCAAGAACTACTGGAACACCACTCTGAGCAAGAAAACGGAGCAAGGAAGCGACAAGGCTCCTCATCATGAACTTACTAGTACTACTAACTCAAAAGAGTACACACCAAAACCGAAACCAGCATCAAAGTCTCATCAGACGGTCCAGGTGATTCGAACGAAAGCGTTTAAGTGCAGGAAGGTTGTCATCCCATCACATTTGGACGGTCACGATCAAATGATTGATAGGTTAAATGTAAACCCTGGTTTGTTCCCGTGGGAAAGCCCGAGTTCATCAGCGTCTCAGGATCCGCAGGAGGACTCACCGCCTTGTGGTTTTCTCATAGATTTCGATATCGATGACCTTTTCATATCTGATTTATTAAATACAGATAATTTTCTCCAAGATCAAATCAATAAGTGTGATCAAGAAATGGAAAATGGAATCACCAAGCTTGAAGGTTTGATGGGTGAAGCAATGTTGGAAAATTGGACCGCTAGTGTTCATGATCATCACGATGACCAGATATTTCAGCCAAATGATGATCATGATCGTGTCCATGGCCTCAATGCAACTTCATCTGTTCTGAATTTAGAAGACGATCATGAAAAGTGGAGCAGTAATTAGTTAAAATGGATCAAACCCTGCAAGCTAGCTAGCTAGGGCTAATATTAATGTTGACAATAAAACATTCCTTAAATTAATTACGAGAGATCATTTTCGTAATTAGATTCTGTTTTATTTGATTTGAATTGGTCAATAAGTGGGAGACATGTACTTTCTTTTTTGTTATGGCTAGTTTCAGTATATGGAGTATAATGCACATAAGCATACTATATACAAAAATGCTACTTTTGCCACAAGTACTTGTACCATCATTTGGTATATTTTTTTAACAGAGATGGAACCCACATGTATTTGTGGACTCTTCTTTTGCTAGAGAGATGATACAAATATAAGGTAAGTGTAACATTACTCTACTATATAAAAGAATAAAGACAAGTCTCCAACATTGTTGTGTATGCTTGTCAAGCTACGGGGTATTATCATGTAGTACGTTGAGCTTCAAATGTATTAAAATTAGGGTTACACACTTGTTGATACACTCTTTAATAAATAAACTATATTATGCATGTAGGATCTGCTTGTATTAAAAAGTGTCAGTAGTGGGTCTCAAAACTCTCAACACCATTAGTTATAGTACATTGAGCTTCAAATTAAGAACAACCATATTAACCGTAGCTTGAAAAAGGGGCAGGTTACAGCAAAAACATAAAAGAATGAAAGAATAAGATAACAGAAATGGGGCTGGGTTAATGGCCTCAATTGGACATAGATGACACTTGGTGGGTTTGTTTATTGGGGTGCAATTTAGAATGGTGTTTCCGGTTCTAAAGATAAAATTTCTGAATTCGAATCCGGAAATTCTAAAACCTTGGAACGGAGATTGGAAGGGGTGCAAGTTGGAATGGTATTTCCAACTCCTGGAATTGGAAAAACTTCCGAATCTGAAAATTTCAAATTCGAATATTTTTAAAAAAAAATTAAAACGGAAATGCATTTAGAGAGATTATGAGAATTATAAATTTTTTATGCAAATTTTTTTGAAGTATTCAAATAAAAAAACTTTCAAAATATTTCGATTTTATAGTTATTTACTCAAATTATATATTTTGTAATTAACTTTCGTATTTATTGTTAGTTTTGGATACATTTGGTTTATTGTTTTCATATTAAACATACATTTATATATTAAAAAGATAAGCATCCTAGTATATCACAAATTAATAGAATTTATACATAACCATATACCAAATATTAAAATAGATAAATTGCATGTACGAAAAAAGTTAGAGAATGTTAAAAAACATAGAAAATATATGTATTTCTTATTTATGTCCCGAATTTTTCGAGATTACTCTGATTCCGAAATTTCTGAATATGCTAAAACTTCCAAATTAATTTTTTTTTATCCGACCTGATTCCGAAATTTTGGAATGAAAATTGGAAATGTTGTTTATGATCCGATCATTCTGAAACACACCCCTAGAGATTGGAGCGCATTTAGGGATTCAGATAATTCTGAATTTTTGATCTGAAGTGTTCTGAACTTATTTCAACAAAAAAAAAAAGTTATTGAACACTCCAATTTTTATAGTTATTTACTCAAATAATGCATTTGTAATGAATTTTTATATTTTATTGTTAGTTTTGGATACCTTTTATTCATTTTTTTTTTGTATTAAACATATACTTATACATTAAAAAGAAAAAGCATACTATTATAACAACAATTAATTGAATTTGTATGACACACCGGGACTCAAATTGTCCACTTAGGCTCCGAATTGAGTTGTGATGGTCGACACCTAGAAGGTGACAAAGCCATAAAGTGTAGTGGAATATGTGACTAAATTTAAACCTAAAAGTGCCTAATTTAAAGAGTGCGTTACGAGCGGGAATGAACCAATTTCACACGTGATGACAGAGTATAAGTAGATTACAGTAAAATAGGGTGAGAATTATACCATCGAAGGTAATCATCTACACCAAGATTTGCCAATAATCCTTAGGGGTTGGCATAAAAACTGCCAAACCACAAAATCGCATCGAACCGTATGAAAAAAAACCCGAAAAGAACCGTGTTGACCGGAAAAGTCAACTTTAAGTCAAAAACCGAACTGAACAGTTCAAACCGGTTCCGGTTTCGAATGAACAAGAACTGGCCGGAACTGAACCAAACCGTTTATTAATAATAAATAAATAAATTATATATACACACATGTCATGGTATAATAGGTTGAAAAATTAGTTTTACCGAGTTGCAAAGCAATGGATCACATCCCAATTAGAGCTCACTCACTTCACCCTCTCACCTCACTCATGGCCTCACATTCCCATTCCCCTATTTCAGTTTCACACAATCAACCCCACTTGGTTGCACTTTTTTAGATGTCGCTGCCATTTGGAAAAAAGGAATGTCTGCACTCTATTCTACAGAAACCAATATTAGTGGCTACCTTAAATTGAGAATTCTCACAAGAGGAGTGTCATTGCTTTGGTTTAGTGTTCTATGAGTAGAGGAAAGGGGTGGTGTGGTGCGGTGTGGTGCATCTATTGCTATGATGTCCTGTTGCTAGGATATATGATCTCATGTCAGTTGAAGAACATTTTGTTTCATTGCTTTTCCTAGGTTTTTTACATAAACTTTATGCCAATTTCTTGACAAAAGAACAAGAAAACAAAATTATGTGGACTTCAAATTGATGCTGCTTATGGATCAGTTTGAGGGACAATCCAAATGGAAATTAGGTAGTTATTCTTCTATTCGGCCAAACCCCTTTGTGAAAACATACTGTACAATTCTGGAGGATTTGTGCCATAAATAATTTGAATGCATGATGATTTGGTATTCAAATAATTTAGTATTCGAAACCGTAAACCAACAAAAACTGAATCGGAACCAGTGTAGACCGAACCATACAGTTCTAGTAATAAATTTAAGCAGAACCAAACCGAACCGAATCATTGATATTTTTCGATTTCGGTTTGAATTTGGGGGTGGAACCACACCGAACTGCACCATGCCCATCCCTAATAATCCTTGTTGGTAGGAAAGCTCTGCTACTAGAACCTGGAGGGGTGAAAACAATGGTGAGTGGGTCTAAAAATAAAGTTTTATAAAAACCTTTCTGAAAACATTGTAACCCATCGCCGTAAAACAAGTATGGTTTCCAAAATATACTTACTATGTATAGTATAAAAATACTTACCATAGCCTGCAAAATCTCAAGAATTCATTACGCCACAATATCACGTAACTAAGGGCAGAATATCCAAAATCACAAAATCTCAACAACAATATAAGTAAAATCAGGTGTTCAAACAATCTATACTAGCACATAAGTCGGAGTCGCCGAATACGACCTGTACGACTGAATTGATGCTCATCAATCTATGTTAGCACAGGAGTTGGAGTCGCCTAATGCGACTTGTAGGACATAACTGAGTGTAATCATAATATACGTTCTAATGCTACAATCACGTGAAAACTGGCGTTATTCGCGGTCACCTACGAGTTAGAATTGCCTAATGCAACATGTACAACATGACTGGCACTTACTTGGATCCAAGGCGAACATGCAGTGCGAAGTTGAACATACACATGAAAAATTGGCCCTGGCCCTGGGCAGGCACTAACACCGGGGTGCAGCAATGATGAGCATACTACATAAATATAATCATGCCATAATGATTCAATAATTCTAGTCAACATAGTAAACTTACCTACGCATCCTGTAGGATTATTTTAGCATTTCACAACAGTACAACATTTCTTATGACGTTATTTAATTGTGGCATTCATATAGCAATTATATATATATATATATATATATATATATAAAAGAAAAGACCCATTCACATAACCATAGCTCGCTTGCCCTCGATAAGCCTTGTCATTCGTAAATCTAAATAAGCTTGTACCTATACCAAGTCACATTGATGTAGCAAAATTCTTAAACACAAATCAGTTTACTTATGCAAGCTTTTACACTGCACAAAGGCTGATTTCATGTTCCAGATAGAATCCATGTGGTGGTGCACGCTGCACAATATGAGATTCTAAGTTTTGGATTTTCCTCTGGTATTTTCATACAGTTTTGGACATAACTTATTCGTTATAACTTCGAATTAAGTTCCGTCTGCGATCGCAAGTTCGTAGAAATGAGTCGAAAATAGTAAAATAAAACTGGAAAGGTGAAAGGAAAATTAAGGTCCACGTGGAAGGCTGACATGGCATCTCTTCTGATAATTTCACTACTACTGAGAATAAAATACAATAAACTTCGGGACAAGATGTCACATTATACATAAGCATATACCAAATACTATGAAAGAAAATAAATTGCATATACGAAAAAGTTTGAGAGTATTAAAAAACATATGAATTATATGAATTTCGGAATTATATTCCTAAATTTTCAAGATTACTAAGATTCCAAAAATTTGTAATATGCCAAAACTTCCTAATTTAAAATTTGTGCTCCGATTTGATCCGATTGGATTTGTAATGAACTTTTATATTTTATTGTTAGTTTTGGATACCTTTTATTCATTTTTTTTGTATTAAACATATACTTATACATTAAAAAGAAAAACGTACTATTATAACAAAAATTAATTGAATTTATATATAAGCATATACTAAATACTGAGAAAGAAAATAAATTGCATATACAAAAAAGTTTGATAGTATTAAAAAACATATGAATTCTATGAATTTCCGAATCAGTAATGCTATTCTTACCATATTTTTATACCACATTTATATATTACCTTATGTGGCATTTGATGTGGACAACCACATCATTTAAATTAATCAAAATTTAATTTAAATTAAAAACCATTTAATAAACCAAAAATTAAAAAAAAAAAACTGGAATTAAATGGTGATTGTGGCATACGAAAAGTCTTCTCTTTCCTTCCTCGTTCAATCCTACTTCTTCTCCCGTTTCTTCTTCCACGCTAGTTCTTTTACGTCAATTTTTCAGGTCAGTCAAATCCACCAGCTTTGGGCTTACCATTCCCTCAGGGTTTTGTTTTTTGGAACTCATGAGCAACTTCCCAGTGGGTCACCCATCCTGTGAGCGCTCTGGCCTCTTTCTCGCTTAACTTCGGAGTTCCTACGGAACCCGAAGCCCGTGAGCTCTCAAAATGCCTCGTGCTAGGTAGGGATGAGAATATACATTTAAGGATCACTCCCTTGGGCGATGTGGGATGTCACAATCCAAATATACATTTAAGGATCACTCCCTTGGGCGATGTGGGATGTCACAATCCAAATATACATTTAAGGATCACTCCCTTGGGCGATGTGGGATGTCACAATCCACCCCCCTTAGGGGCCCGACGTCCTCGTCGGCACACTTCCGACCAGGGATTAGCTCTGATACCATTTGTCACATCCCAGCCAGGGGCGGACCACTTCCCCGGCCCGCTCCACCACCGT